CCAGCCCCTCTGGGGCACCCGTGGTCTCCGGGGTGGGTGTCAGCCAGCTCACAGTGGTGGGGTTTGGCGTGGGCCCCATGGACGTGGCAGGGGACAGGGGCACTGTGGCAGTTGCGGCAGTGTCAGAAGCTGGTGGGGTGGTGGGGTCACTGCCAGGGGTGGGTGGCCATCCCACGGGGGAGGGCTTCCTCACACCCACCCTGCTGCTGGGCCTCAGGAGCTGGTCCTCAATCAGCAGGTCCACTGTGTTGTCCCCGCTGAACAGCTCGTCTGCTGACAAACACAGACATGGGCGTCAGCCTCACAGCCAGCAGGAGCAGGTCCCCTGCAGCCCCTCTGTCCTCATCCCACCACTCCAGCTCCTCTGCCCACTTCTCCAGGCTGTCTTCTACTAAATTCACCTGGTTTCCCTTTTGACTTCCAGCTGAAGAATAACCATGGGAACTGCACAGACTGATGGTGCCCACATTAGAAAGTCAGCAAGATCCTGTCAGAGCCACGACCACCAACTCAGGCCAGGCAGAGCAGGAGGTGGTGGAGAGTGATTCGGTCCTGCCAGTGCCCAGAGGTGGGGCAGGATGGAGAGACAGCTGCAGCTCCCAGCCAGATCTCACCCACCTAGACGACTCCTCATCTCAGGGATCTCATGAACCTACCTAGAGCTATGCTGGCTCACCTTGCTGCAGAGCCAGCTTTGCAGCGAAAGGGCGCTTGCCTTGGGCCCTTGTCTCATTGCTGGGAGCTGCTGGTCCCCAGGGGCTCAGCCCTCTGCTGTCACCCCGAGCTGCACCTGGTTGAGTAGTACAGCAGCCAGCAGCAGCTTCGAGCCACCTCCCACCACACCGACCACTGCCCAAACCTCCTGGGTTGCCATCGGGCAGGCAGATCTGCAGGACTAACATCTATAATAAACCTGCATTTCCTTTTGGAAAGGTATTGAGGCTGGGTGTTTTAAACTGCAGCAGTGACCTATTTCCTTATCTGCCAGGGATTTTCCATGGAATAACAGCACTGCACTGCTCCTCTGCACAGGGCTGCAGAGTGGAGGTACCAACGGCCCCACCTCCTCCTGCCTACAAGCCCTCCTCCTCCTGGTGACCCTATGTGCTTTGCCCACGAGTTCCTGGGGGGCAAGGCAGGACTCAGGGGGCAGATGGCGGCTTTGCTACGGGCTGCAGCCAGCCGTCCAGCCAGACAGGGCTGCAACCCCCAACTCACGCTGCTCCTCGATGTCGTTCTCTGACTCAGTGGACTGGGCTTTGTAGTAGGTGACTCCTCGGATGATGGTGGGTTTGGAAGGAGGTCGGCTCCTCACATGCAGCTGCCTCTCCAAAAGCTGCTTGTGCTTCTCATCCTCCAGAGAGAGGTGCAGCTCCGGGAGGGACTCAACGGAGTTGATCTGCTGGGAGATGGTTTCATCTTTGAGGAACCTTTCTTCATATTTGCCCTGGAAGAAGCACAGGACGATGTCACAAGATTGGCCAGGGCAGCCACGCTTTAGGGGACAAGGCAGGTCAGACTGGTCAGCTGAGCAGTGGGTAGGACACTCTGTCCTCCCTCCTTTCTCAGGGCCATCTTCAGGCCATTCTGCGATGGGAAACCCTCCTGGACACAGTGGGGATAGCAGACCAGTGTTACCTTTGCATGACCTTGGTGCCATGCTGCAAACCCAGCACTCGTGCTCAATAAGGCACAGGCTGTGGAGTGCAGGGTGTGTGGGTAGAGTGGGGGGACCCTGGGGCAGTGTCAGCAGGGCACACCCATCACTGCCACCACTTGCATTTCCACCCACCAGACACCGCCTTGCATGCCAGAGACTGGTGCCAGCAGATGATCCGTAGAGAGCATGCAACGTGCACCAAGCTTTGGTAGAGCAGAGAGGCTGAAGGCACCTTCCCAGCAGAATCAGGAACCCTGCCCTGAGGCAGAGACCAGGAGATCTCCTCCCGGCAGGGAGTGGGAACCCTGTGCAGAGGCAGCCACCAGCTGCTGCAGCTCATGCCTGAAGGATTTCATCTCATTAAAGGAAATCGGAAAGACAGTCTGAAGGTTGAAGCACTGCCCATTTGGCTGAGAAGACAGGCTCAGGGTTCCTTCGCAGCCCTGCTGCAATTAACAGCGAGAAAAGAGGAACATTGGGAAATGAGGTCACCCGGGGTACTGAAAGCCCCGCACTTTACTCTCCTGCCTGGCCGGGGCTGGCTTCTTCCCAGCGGGCAGTGGAGCGCTTGCCCAGGTGCCAGCAGAGAGCAGGGGCAGAGGGGCTGGCAGCGCTGCTGGACAGCTCTGCCACAGGGTGCAGCTCTCCCTGGAGCAGGGCACCCTGGCACTGCACGGTCGGTGACATTTCTCAACCCTCTGACCCACAGTGCACATGTGGGAACCCACCCTTCTACCTGCCCACCCCTGTGTAGGATTCATGCCTGCTCTTGGTGCTAAGGGGGCACGTGTGCAGGCTGCCCTCACCCCCAGGAGCTGAGCACCCCGTTTGGAGATGGAAACGATGCAGCAGCTGTTCCCCCCTGCCCAGGAGGGATAACTCCCTTTGCCCCACAGACGGGATCCTGGGGTGAAGGCAGGATGCTCCAGGAGCCACCCAGCATGGCTCAGGGTGGCATGAGGCCACCCTAGATTGTACCACCGAAGCAGCAAGGGGATAGGACACCCTGGCTCAGCCCTTTTTCCAAAACACCCTTCTCAGAAGCTGCACAGAAACCACTGCCCCAGGCAGAGGCCGTTCTCACGCTGGTCAGATCCCTCAAGGACCCCTGCGGTCCAGGGCCGGGTGCC